CATTATTATTATTATTATTTTACAGTTATTATTGCAAATAATTATTACAACCAGTATCACGTACGTTCTCCCGCGTGTGTGTGTTTCTCACAGAAAGTCATCCCCGAGGTGGAGTACAGTGAAGTGATGACGTCAGACGAGGCCCTCTACGAGTAAGTGTTGAGGACATCTCCAGATATTGACGGACCAAGCATTACTATTACTTAAGACAAAACTTCTCGGACAAGTGGTCGCTGTTAAGCACAAGGGGGGCTATCCCGAAAAACGCTTTGTTTAAAAAAAATAGAAAATCGAAGGTAACGTTTTTGGACTCTTGTTCGGTTTCTTTAGAAGACGAAGATGGTTTTTTCTATAACCAAACAAATATACTCACCAATGAAACCAAACTTCTCCTATAGATAGGGCAATGCACATTTTTGGTGTAGGTCAAGATTTCTGGAAACCCCCCGAAATCTGGGTTAGCCCGCTTGTCCTTCAAAGCGATCAAATAATGCCCTGCTTTTAGTCGCTATCGGCTGAAATGTTCTGCGAATTGACAAGGGTGTATTTTACTCTCCATGCGATATTGAATAACGGGACTAGGACATTCAGTTTTCTTAACCATCCCTGTCAAAAGAATGAGAGAATGGGCAAGCGTGTGCTGTGTATGACATACATTTTGTCCTCAGTCAGCGTTTGTTTGTAGAAAAATGGCTCCTGAACCCCCCCACCCCCCACCCAACCCATATCTTTACTCTCATAAGATCATTGCAATAGTCACTTTGGCCGGATAGGAGTGTACCAAAATTCAAGCGTTCCCAGAGCCAATTGTTCGTTATAAACAGTTTTTTTTCTCCTAAAATGGCTGAAATTATTTAATTATCCTATGAGCGTGAAGTTGTTATGTTTTCTTTTTTCTCCAAATAAAAGTTCACGACCGCGTGGAACAGACGAACAAGTGATACAACAGTCCATCTTACTTTCCGGGATTTTTCACGAACTTGATTTCTACGATAGCAATCAATATCTTGATTTCCCATTTGGCTCGGTCTTTTCGGAGATGGACGTTAAACTCGGGAGGTCCCGCCTCTTAAATAACTTAATAGCGTTTATAGGGGCGTTAAACCTTTACCATTTCACCACACCATTGTCACCATAATACGACGTGTCAGATGGTACAACCCATAGCTGATGAAAACGTAGATGGTACTCGGTGTTCCCCTCCTGTGACGTCACTGTGGTTTCCCTCCTCAGATGGTTGGTCCACCTGAGTGAGAGAGGAATCTGCCTGGTCAAGAACGTGCCCGCAGAAAAAGACATGGTCATCAAGGTACGACGGACGCACTGCTCGCAACTCTAATTCCTTGTTATTTTGTGAACGACCTGATAGTTAGTAGCCAGACTACTAAATATCCAACATAATTTCAAAGTGGGCGTAACATGTTTGCATGTCTTCTATCCGTGTACGAGTTCAAGAACACAAGTCTATAGATCTGTTGTCTGGTCCATGTCTTTTCATTGTTTATTCACGGTTAGGATTATGTTCAGGATTAGGGTTACGGTTAGGGTTAGGATTAGGGTTAGGGTTAGGGTTAGGGTTAGGGTTAGGGTTAGGGTTAGGGTTAGGGTTAGGTTAGGATTAGGGTTAGGGATAGGGTTAGGGTATGGGTTAGGGTTAGGCTTAGGTTAGGATTAGGGTTAGAGATAGAGATAGGGTCAGGGTTAAGGTTGAGGTTAGGGTTGGGTTCGAGGTTAGTGGTTATAGAGGTCAGGCTTAGGGTTAAGGCTAACCTTAGAGTTAGGGGTTACAAGTTAGACGTTAAGGGTTGGGGGTTAGAGGTTAAGGTGTTAGGGGTTAGGGTTTAGGGGTTAGGAGTTAGTGTAGGGTTAGGGTAGAGCTGCGAGTTTGGGGTTCATGTGTCAATAATATGATGAGCTGAATATTTGTTCACCTGACAATATGGTGAGCTTAATGTTTGTTCATATCACAATATAGTGAGCTAAATGTTTGTTCATGTCACACTATGGTAAGCTAAATATTTGTTCATGTCACAATATGGTGAGCTAAATGTTTGTTTCCACCACAATATAGTGAGCTAAATGTTTGTTCATGTCACCATGTGGGGAGCTAAATGTTTGTTCATGTCACAATATGGTGAGCTAAATGTTTGTTTCCACCACAATATAGTGAGCTAAATGTTTGTTCATGTCACAATGTGGGGAGCTAAATGTTTGTTCATGTCACAATATGGTGAGCTAAATGTTTGTTCACATCACAATTTGGTGAGCTAAATGTTTGTTCAACATCGCAATGTGATAAGCTAAATGTTTGTTCATGTCACAGTGTGATGAGCTAAATGTTTGTTCATATCACACTGTGGTGAGC